TACGAGCTGGGAGAAGAGATGCAAGAATAACCTTATCATGCCAACTACTGAATTTAAGATAGTAAATAAACTAAAAGGATTAAGTACTTCAAATACAGTGAAAATTACTTACAAAGCCCAGAGAACTGATAAGAGACAACAACTGTCCTGGAGTACGTGAGTAGTCCTGTTTTGGCTTTGCCATTGATGGGGTAGTAAGGATATCTATCATATTTATCTCTACAGAAGAAAAAAAACCAAAATCAAATAGGTCGGGTTTTCATTTTGATATTAAACAAAGGCAAAGTTGTAGACATTTACTTAAGTTTCATGAAAAGGAAAGAAAAGGAAAGAAAAAATTTAGCCACGTACTCAACAAACATACAAATGAAGCCACCAAAACCAATTGAAGATTTACCTGTACATTCTTATTTAACACAAGGTGGTTTTTTTTTGTACATCCATACATTTATATGTACAGAAGTTGTAGAAGTCAAAGTCCTTTTCCAACATACTAGGCTAAAAGCACTACATTTTCTAATTTGATATCAGCTTTGGTTTTTAGGCAGCAGTTCCATCTTATGGCTTGTGGACAGGATACTAAATTTGATTCCAAACCTTCCATCTCTCCAAAAAAAAAATCTCAAAAAAGCTACACAAGAATTTTTAATAGGTGAAAATACAACCTTAGGTACTTTTTTTTGTTCACTAGCAGTAAGTAGTTTTAAAGTTTACATATAACGTTCAACTAGACACAATAATCTGTCCCATTAGAACATCAGTTAAAGCAGTACATCATAAAAAATATAGAAAACCTACAATTTTCCTTTATATTCTTAAAAGCATGAATCAGACTCCATAGACAACTCTGAATTTCTACATTCCTTCAACTGTATAAAAAGGATGTGCTCTCCAGCGGCTGTCTCAAAAAACCTGGACTGGTGCTGTGCAGAATAAGTTTGGATGATCTGGCTAAGGAGGTACAAACCAGGTCAGAAATTGACTATTCACCCTAATATCTGCAGCCTGTGCCAGAGAGTCAAGGCTATTCAGCTATGGTTTCTGCTTGAAAAGAGAATATTCACATGCCAAAGCACTGATCTAATCTTCTGTTATGGACTTAGCACCTCCCCTTATCCCTCAAAATGGACTTAGCACCTCCCCTTATCCCTCAAATTAATGTCTGGAATGTCCCAGTTAATTTATCGGAAATTAATTTACATAGGACTGAGATACATAAACTGAAGGGCAGAAGTAGTCAGAGAAACAGGAACAAGTCAGAATTATTCATTCACCCTTTTAAATCTCCTAGCAGACTTCAGAAAACTTGGAAATCCATATCCCTCCAAAGAAAGGACTCCAGATAATATTTCATACAACCATCACATTCACAGTCCCGAAGAATAAATATTTTACCTTCTGAAGTGCAATGCAAAGAGCAGTCCCCTTACTAGGATGTTGCTAATCAGTACTTACCTATCAGAAACCAGGTATCACTGCAACTTTTGCACTTATTTAACTAAAAGGTGCCCTTTACAGGAATGTGAAATATTCAAGAATATGGAAATGTGATGCAAAAATACATTTTAATACAAACAAAAGGATAGAAACAACTCTTACCTCTATTCAGAGTAACTCTGGAAAGCCCAAAGTCTGTCAACTTTATATGTCCCTGATTAGAAATAAGCATATTGTCTGGCTTCAAATCCCTGAAAATATTAATATAGCTGAAGTCAGCAAAAAGAGCACTGAACAACATGAAGAAAGTTAACTGACCAGAAACACTCAATACAAAACATTGGTTAGAGTTGTTTAACAGTAACATCTCTTAGCCAGCAGAAGATTCCAATTTGAGGAACACACTAAAAGAACTAAATATATTTAGCATTAAATATGGCACAAACATCTCAGGCTTTGTAAAAATCAGCATTTATGTCAAGAGTTGCATAGTTTGAGCTTCAGCAGGCTCAACAAGCATCCTTCAAAAGTACCACCATCATAACATTCACTAATGTGCAGCTCCTAGAGGTGACAAGCAAACCTCTAGTGAGTTTTCATGTGTGCTCTCTGCAGCACTGCTGAGTGCAAAAAGAACTCTCACTATGGGGGAGCATCAGGGCATTCACTGTCCCTTCGCCCTACAGGTCCATGTGTGCAGTTCCCAGAGGGTTCCTGAACCATCACAGCTGCTAATACAGCACTGGACTGGGAAAGAGCTGGCAGGGGAAAGCAGTGTGGGTTTGTGTGCTCAGCACACACAGACAGATTTGATTTTAGCCAGTTTTGTGACATTGCCACAGTACACATGTGAACAACGAGCTTCCAGGAGCTCCAGCAAATGAAATGCCTGTGGCAGCTGCCACAATGAAATGGTGATGGTTATGTGTTAGAGTGAAAAAATAAAAAAAACGAACTATCAATACTTATTTGTAAGAAAAAAAAATTCACCTGTGGATTATTCCATGTCTATGAAGATAGTCAAGAGCCAATGCTGCTTCCGAAATATACTTAACAGCCATTTCTTCATCAAAATATCCATAAATATGGAGAAGAGATTTGACATCTCCACCAATAAGGTACTCCATCACCTGTCATTCAAGTATTTTAAATTTTAAATTTAAAACACAATTCAAAATTGCAAGTAAAATACAAAATAACTTTCACCCCTAGAAAAAAATTATTTAAAGGAGCAGAAGCAGATAGAAGTACCTTTGTGCAAAACCTCATTTCCCACACAATACTTTTCACTTGGATAAAATAATTAAAGCTCCATGTAACAGCAGACATGAAACATTTTCATTACATTTAATTTAGACCATTTGCTTATTTTATTTGCCTAGATTACTTTTAGAAGCTAATTAGAAAGTTGATTATAGCTTTTGAGAGTCAACTGTAGAAAATTTTCTATATTATAAGTGTTATGTATTTCTATATTGAATATTATGCATTTTAACATATATTTATATTCATATATTAACCTATATTTAGCTTAATATTGGATATTCCTATAGTATAGAAAATGAAGTGCAAAGCATTCCTGTGAAACTCATGGCCTGAAGCCAAATACCACCTGATTCATACAAATCAAAGTATCTCAATACTTTATCTTGCAATCATTTATACACAATATTAAATTCAGACCAGACAGAGCTTTGTGAATTAAGTACAAACTGTCAAAAATGCAAACAGTAAGAGTTACTAATTTTTTACACATTTAAGACACATGAAAAAGAGTGAAAAAAATTATACACACCCAAAAAACCATTATGCAGACACATTATGATGGCCCACGTCATATTTAAAATAAAATAGAAGTCAGCAGGGCTTCTGAAACTCACTCTTTGATTTCAAGAATGCATTTATGGGGTTTTGGTCAGGAAATCTCACAAGTACTTACATTCCAAAACACAATATTCTTCTGCATATAAACAAATATATACACTCACACATGATTCTAGCATCTCCTTTACAAATCCTTCACCCCAAAGTCTTATACTCCACATAGCAGTTCAGAGATTCCAGAAAAAGAAGCCTTTGCTTACATGTAGAATGCATTGTAGGAGTACATAGCAACCTTGTTTGTTTCATCAAGCTGTTCCCTGTGTGTGCTTACAGCAATCCACACAAATTGTGCCAGACCCTTTGCAGACAGTGTGAATCCTTATGTGGAGACAGTATATAAACACATACACAAGTCCTGCTGTGCTCCACAGTGCTCCATGTGGACCAGCATTTAGTTTCGCCACTCAGTTATCATCTTGTCATGCAGGCCAACAACCATAACGAAATTGGAGCACCAGCAATAAGTAAAATAGATTTCTTTTAAGTGAGCCATGGATATCTTCCAGTCACTTGGCTTCTGCTTGAATAGAGTGATTTCTTGCTTTCCCTAAGATTACTACATCTTTCTAAGACAGAGTAGATATTAGAAAAGCTTCTCCTGTAACAGAAGGGAACATGGGTGGAAAGAGTCCAAAGACACCAGAAGAAGAGAAATATTTTACTTGTTCAACCATTTTGAGAAAGATGCAGAAGTGACTCAGGAATACCATGGAAAAAATGTTTTGAGATATCACTACAGTTCACATTCAATTTCCATGACTGCCATAAAACGTCACAGCCATTTTTTTACTCACTCATTTTTTTACATTTTTTTACTCACTAAATAGATGTTGTTTGCTGACTGAAGTGAGTAGTATAAGTGCACAATGAACGGACTTTTACTGAGAGCCAATGCATCCCTCTCTGCCTGCACCTGGTGAACCATATTTTTGTTAATCATGTCTGCTTTTTTCATCACCTGAAAAATAAAACAGAGCACAAAAATGATTTAAGCTCAAAATGCTCATAATAAAACCGTGTACAGACATATAGCTCTGCAGAGCAACACCTGTTTTGCATGACTGCATTAATGTTTCTTTGTGTACTACGTAGCTTGTTATAATCCTTTAAATGACAAAGTCAAGTTTGCACAAATAATCGGTAAAGCTCTTACTAACGACAAGCTTAGATTTTAGTCCTTTGTGTAACAACATAGAAAATGCGATTAGTTTTTTGTTTAAGCACTCAGCAAGAACGTTTTTCATAATTCATTCCCGTCTTGTCTCTCAGAGGCGGTGCTTTAGCCCCCCGGCAGGCGCAGCAGCCGAGGGGGCTCAGTTCCAGCAGCTGTTTACAAACGAGAAGCCAACAGCGCTGCGGCCATTGGTCAGGTATTTTGTTATTTCCCCTTATTTAAAGTACTTATAAAAGCAGCTGTCGTTATCAGAGGTCCCCTGATTTTACCCTCCAGGACCCCGGCGAGGTGCGAGCAGGGCACGGCCGTGCGAACAGCGCGTCCCAGGGCACCGGCTGTGCCGGAGCAGCGGCCGCTCCCCGGGGGCCCAGGGCTCATACCGGGGCCCCGCCTCCCCGTCCCCTCGGGACTCCCCTTNCGCCCGCCCCGGGCCCGCCGCGATTCAAAGCGGCCCCGCCCCGCCCGCGCCTTCACCAACGGCAGCGCGAGCTCTCGCGAGACCCCGCGTGGCGGCGGCGGGAGGCGCCGGCCATGGCGCCGCTGGCCGGGAATAGGGAATAGCGCCCGCTCCTGTCCTGTGCTGCCCTCAGAACGTGCCCGTGACAAACCACCGCACCTCCGAGCCGGCTGATCGCTGCTTGGCTCTAGGTTGTAGCTTGCTATGAGCAGGTACTGTCCCCCCATTCCCATGGGAGGCTTGAAGATGCAGGAATTGAACAGAGCTTGGTATGAGACATCACGGAACTGGAAGATCAATTTTGCTTAGAAAGAAGCAACGACTTTGTGTCCACATTATGATTTTCTCATATGCTTCACTCACATCTAAGTTCAAAACACATTTGGACAACACTCGGGCACATGGTGTGATTGTTGTGGTGTCCTTTGCAGGGACTCGATGGTCCTGATGGTCCCTTCCAGCTCAAGGATATTCTATTTTCCTATAATTTTCTCACACTTGATAGCTCCAAGATCTGCATGCAAACGGCAGGGCCAGGAGGGCTTGTTGCCAGAGAACATTCCCAGTCCAGATCTCACTACTGCTGTTCATACCTCACTTTAGGCTAGTGATAACTGCTCCCTGGGCGGGTCTATACTGATCAGCAGTTAAATTAATGTAATCGGTTGCATCCCACCAACTCTTGGTTACTTCATCTGCTATTTATCTTAGGCAACGTTGTTCCGCAATTTGTTTTCTTATTTTGGGTATCTCCATGGCTACATTCAGCCTCCCTCTTGTGACAGCAGGGGCAGGGGGTGGCGTTTACAGGATACTCTGACCTAGCTGCCATCCTGTTCCCAGAGCACAGGCCTTCTGTTTACACTGCACAGCCCTCAGTGTTTACCAGCTTTACTGCTCTCAGCTGTGTTCTAGGTCACTTTTTTAACCCTTGCCTTACTGCTTTTATGTTGGTTTCACATATACATTGCTGTTCCTGTTTTGTTCACAATGATCATAATTGCTCTGTTGCAGTCTGTGCATCAGCAAAGAGCTAACGCTGCAGAGGTTCAGTGCACAACAGCGGGTCTCCTTTCACACAGCAGATTAATCATTAGGCCCTTGTTTTGCTTCAAAATACATCACTTAAAATCTGACCCTACTCAGGGAGGTCTTGCTTGTTACTTGTGAAGGAGAGCTGCTATCCCACAGATCCTAGCAATATGTACAATTTAATGAGAACATGCAGAAAACATGTTTTTAATTAAATTTTTTGTAATGGTATTAAATGCAATTTATCCTTGGCTGTGTTTGTCATTTAACTCTGCAACGTTAGTTTAGGTGTGTCTCACTGGCTGCAATGCCTGTGGAAAAATCCAGCTGAAAGAAGTGGGAGGGGTTGCTTCTTGTGCTGGCACCCTGAGCAGACATGAGGTTATGCCAGCACTGATAGTGCATCAGGAACATGTATTCCACTACAGCCTGAGCTCACTGGAGAGAGTGTAACACCTCTCCCTTCCCTCAAGACAGCATGAGCTGTTGTACAGCTATGTGGAAAACTGCTTCATGGAGTGGATCTAGGCAAACATTCATCACCTTTTAGGACTTTTTGCTGTTGTCAGGTGAGTTTTCTGCCAAATCAGCAAGCTGAGCTATATGACTTTGATCATGAGAGCGTTAGTTGAAAACAGGAGAGATGTACACAAAGGCAAGAGGAGGCAGCAGTGGGGCTGTGCTCACCCAGAGCAGTGTAAATTGCAGTGGGGTAGCACTTCCAGCAAAGAACAGTGGTCAGGTGAAAGAAATAAAACTCTAATAAAACCTCCAAAAATTTGCTTTATGGACCTGCAGATATATGACACCTGCAGCCCTTCCCTTATCCACGGATATAGTTACCCCATCACAGAAGGCCACTAGGTTGGTTGGAGAGGATTTTACTTTGGTGACGCTGTGCTGTCTTGAGTCACCTCCCTATCCTCCATTGCTTTAGAAACACACACTTGGGTCATCTTTTGTTTTAAGGAAAAGCAAAGACAATCTCAAGACAAATGGACTGTCTGGACAAGAGCCACCAGGAGTGAAGCCAGGACTGAGCTGGGGAAAGGTAATTCTGGCAGTGGGAGACCTTGACCACCAACTCATTGACCATCTACCCAAAACGAACCCCAGACTCAGATGGAAGGAAGAACTGCACCTACAGACTGATTAGCATGAGAAGCGATATCTATAGCTAACAAATACGGGGTTGAAGTCGAATTAACAAATGACTTATGTAATTTGTAACCAATAAATGTTGATGTCGTTGTTAAAATGTACAGTGTCAAGTTTTATGATAGATAAGCCACCCTTTCGTGGATCACCACCTATTCCCTACTTTGTGCAAACTAGAATAAAAACTAGAAATACCTCGCCTGGGTGTATGAATTGGCGCTGCGCGCCGGTTAACGAGCCCGCGTTCCGGACAACACCCAGAGGCGATGACACCGAGCAGGGGCAGGCCCCTCTGGCAGCTGCACCACCACCGGCTGAGAGCGGGTCCCCCGCGGGGCCCTGCCCGGCCACCCCCGGTCCCGGCTGCTCCGCTCTT